GGAACAAAATTGATGTCGTTTGTGGCTACCATTCTCTTGTACTTCTGGCGTAATGGCACGAGCCTAAGTCAGGCAACAGCATTATTAGGTCCTTTGCAGTTTTGATAGGCATTTTTGTGTGTAAATGTCTGCATAATGGCTTCGCCTCCAACACTTTCAACATGTAGCCGTGAAACACCAGTCTCTGTTATAGCACAACACATCAAAATTTTGTCTGAAAACTTGATTATGCCTGTGAATTTAACTTTATCAGGAGTGTCTTGTACATTGTGCGTATCCAAACCGTCATTACCTTTGATATCGAATTTGGACAACGTGAAATATATTTCATCGTCAAACATGGCAACTAAGTGGCGGTGTAGTTAGGAGCCTTTCTTCTTTTACAATAATTTAGATTATTTCTGGCGATTGTTTGATTATCAGTTTTGCGTGAAATATGGTATCTTGGAGATAACATTTACACTGACGTTCTCACTGGTTTCGCTCTTTCAATTAATCTTCGCTCATTAAGTTGTCTTAAAACTTTGGATCGTCCACTTTTAGCTAATTCTAAGAAAGTAGTACCCTTCCGGCAATCTTTTACTGTCTGATAGATTGTCGAAACTAAAATATCTTGCTCTATGTAGATCCTTACAATATCACGTTTAGGTACTCATTTAACCAACTGATAAATACCTCTAGAAATATCAACTTGTAGGATATTGTATTCACCATTATTTTACATATTAAAATTCAAATAATAAACTAAAATTTGTTTCCAACGGCAACTGGATCAGTCCATGTCCACTATAAATTAATTGTATTGGATATATTGGAATTTTTTCCGAAAACTTTTGAGACAAACGTTACCAGAATTAAATAACCAAATTCAGCGTTGCCTTTCAATCTACAGGCGTTTAGATACATTACCCAATCACCCTTCACCTCGCTCTCTCCATTCTATTTCCTTATTCTCCTCAACTCCCCACTCTCTTCTCTTCCTCTTTGCAGCTCTTCTACTTTTCATTAATCATTGATTGTTTTTATTTAGAAAAGAGATTGTTTCTAAACAACACATTCGAGGCTAAGTGTTCTGCCGCCACCGGCACCACCACCGTTGCCGTCGAGAAAATTTGATGCTTTCGTGACTTACTTCACTCGATTCACTTACTTCTTTATTTACTTTGGAGGTGTATGAGCTTTAGGAAATGCATTTCTTTTGAAAATGATTATTTATAGATATTATTTAGCAGGAAGCAACTTCCAAAACGTACTCTGAAAACTAGTTTAGAATAAAAATTAGACATGATTAACTTATTTAATAAAATAATTTTAAAATTATTAAATGTGTAGAGACAGTAAACATCGGAACAACGGGAAAAATTAAGGCTGTTCTACCGCTTTTCGTTCGGTCCAAGTTGAGAGGTATCTCATCCATTTCATAGAATATCTCTGTACGCAACCCTCTCTTTGTTTATGGAAAGACAATTGTACGTGTAAAAATTCTATCTTTCTCCGTTCAGTCTAACCGGACGCCTATCTTTCTTGGTAGTCATCTCCACCTAAAACGCGGGCTGGCCAAATTTGTCGGTATAACTATTGTGTTGATAGTAATTTCTTGGCAGATAATATTTTTGTTTATTACTTCTACGATGGATTCGAAAGTTTTCTTTCTTCATCTAGTGGAATTAGTTTTTAAATAAATTATTAACTACATTTAAATTGATTTTATTTATATTCTAAGGTGAAATAGTAAAGGATTTGTATACATATAATTTTTTTTTGTGTGTGTCATCGGCTTCAACTGCTAAGGTTATTTGACTTCATGTTCTGTGTAGGCTTTGTTACTGTTTCTCAACGCCACTTTAGGAACAGCACTGTTAATTAGAACCCAACAGTGAATGGTCGAGTGGGGAATCCTACCAAGGCTTCAGACTTAATTTTAAATAATTAAATTAAATAAAAAAATCCTGGTCAACGGTGGGATTCGAACGATCGTATTTATTGTAATTAACATTATTGTTGTTATTATTACTAATATTCGATAATACACACTTGATATCAACGCGAAAGCTTTGGATGGCTTTATTTATGGTATATTTAAAGTAAGAAACTAATTTTTGGAAAGTGCTTTAATATACAGTGGTACATAATATAAAATATTTATTTTTTTAAAAATAATCGCATCAATCTCACAATCAATTTGTAGTGTAGATGAAAAATTTTTGAAAATTATTTTATCGTACGCCTATACAGGGTGATTCATAACTATTGGGACATAATTTAAGGGCAGATTATTTGGAGCAAAATATGGCGATAGGGCCAAATATACCTTAATAAAATATTGCTGCGAAATAAGATACAGGGCGATAAATAATAATAACAATAGTAATAGTAATAATAATAGACTATAATGAAACAGCAAAAATAATTCACTGTCAAGAAATTACATGTATCAGACACAATCATCTGACACTTCAAAGCACACTTTTCATATGTGAAATATTTTTTTAACTCCTCATCTGAGACTTGTGAGCTGTTCAATTGCGTTTTTCCCGAAAACTGGTAAAATTATCGTGTTTAAACAAGAGTGCCAATATTGCGTAGAAATGACGTTTACATCATATTTTCCAATCAAAAATATTAACAAGTTTTGTCAAAAAAAGCTACCACTTAATTTCATTATTAGTAATCATTTAAGTGGCGCCCCCCGTAACAAAATGAGAAATTATGCATAAAATATTATCCCCTGTCCAAAGATATGCCTCTGTGCCGATTTTGATAACAATTTATTAATATAGATTGACATTATCAAAAAAAAAAACGAAAAAAAAATCAACTTTAACGCCCTGTATCTTATTCCACAGCAATATTTTATTAAGGTATATTTGACCCTGTCGTCATATTTTGGTACAAATAACCTGTCCTTAGCCTATGTCCCAATAGTTATGAATCACCCTGTATATTTTATTGTACAATATATATGCTTTGTTTTAATTTCATAAAAAAATATAATGTATTAGTTTTATCTTTTCTTCGTTCACTAAAAGTAAAAATCTGATGTGTCCAACACATGACTTTCCTATCTAGTTATTATAGGTATTTTCCGGTTATTTTGTACAACCTATTGCAGCATCTCTATAAATGTTTAGAGGATAAACTAAATATATACATTTTACACATACATCTACCTCGAAACATTTTTCTATAGATATTCATTGAAAACGAAAATACAGAAAAATTTAAATTTAGCACTTTTCCATTACGGACCATTTTAGAAAAATCATGTATAAACAAAAATTATAGAAATCGATATCGCAAACAACTTTTAGTTCAACAATTTTCATAAAAATCAGAATTTTGCACATTTTGTCAAATTTCTCGAATACGGACCATTTCAGGAAATTTTGACATAAAACAAAAATTATAGATAATAATATTAGAAGTAACTTTTATTTGAACAATTTTCTTCTCCAAACATAAATAACAGATATATTCCATAAAATATAAAAACGGCCTCCCATAAAGTACCCCCCCAGATGTTCCAACTTTGTCCAAAATCTAATCATTTCACGTCAGGCCGAAATAAACCTTAAGTTTAAAATTTAATGTTTTTTCCTTTATCCGTTTTTGAGTTTTCTTCAAATTTCGAAATTTACACATTTTCTCAAATATCTCGAATACGGTCCATTTTAGAGAAATTATGTATAGGACAAGAATTATAGAGAATTATATTATAAACAACTTTTATTTGAACAATTTTTATAAAAAATTATGTTTTTTACATTTTGTCAAATTTCTCGAATACGGACCATTTTAGGAAAATTTTGCATTTAACAAAAATTATAGATAATTATATTAGAAGTAACTTTTATTTGAAGAATTTTCTTCTCCAAACGTAAATAACAGATATATTCCATAAAATATAAAAATGACCACCTATAAAGTACCCCCCCAGATGTTCCGACACTGCCCAAAATCTAATCAGCTCATTGGACGCTGAAACAAAGCTTAAGTTTAAAATTTGGTGTTTTTCTGTGTATCGGTTCATGAGTTATGCGTTATACAGACACACACACACACACACACACACACACACACACACACACACACACACACACACACACACACACACACACACAGACACACAGACACACAGACACACAGACACACAGACACACACACACACAGACATCATCGCGAAAATAGTCAAAACGGATTCAGGGGACCTCAAAACGTAAAAATCCGTCGAAAACTCGAGGTCGAAAAAAATCATGATTCCTATACTTTCCTTATATCTGTATACAGATAGGAAAGTAAAAATAGATTAAAATAAATAAAATACTTAAATAAAAAAAAACTTTAATTACCTGTTTTTAATGAAACATTTTATTTCACTTAACCAAAACAAATCACAAAAAATAAATTACATCAATTTCTTCTTACAATTTCTTTTATTAAATATTTTAAATAAATGTCAACTAACTTTGCTTCAGCACATAACCAAAAATTGTCATCTCTCTTAATTTTCTCAACAAAATAACAATATTTGGCTTTCGTTATAGCCAATTGTCCTTCTACCTGATAATAATAATTATCTTTTTTTTTATTTAATTTAGACATCTGTATTGGCCAGATATTTATTTTTTTTTTCTTGATTTCACATTTCTGGTATCAATTTGGAACAAGAATATGGACATTCAATTACAATTATTTCATTATTATCAGGATTCCCCACTCGACCATTCACTGTGCTGTTCCTAAAGTGGCGCTAGGAAACAGAAACAAAGCCTACACAGAACACGAGGCTAATAACTGTAGCAGTTGATGCCGATAACACCAAAAAAAAAAAAATGCCGTCTGGACTTGCTTCCAACTATGGATGTTTTTCATAAATAAATAATTCACATTCTTGTACCGTTTTTCCATATTTATCATTAAATTCTTCTATCGTAATAGATTTATGATCTTGTCCCCATTTTGTAGCGACTGATCCGTAAAAAGATGAAAATATTATGCTATTAACAGTCTTTTTTGCGTAATTTGCAAACGGTTCCAAAATTTGAAGCCGTGAGCATATTACTACGATTTTCTTTCCACAGATCATTACTGGCCTGACCTTTAGTAGATACTTCAATTTTACAAATATCATCTATTGATTTTGGTAAACTATCCAAAAATTGCAGTTTTCTTTGTTCCAAAACATCGTCATCATCATCATCATCATCATCATCGCATTGAAGTCCGTTTTCCCTATCTTTACGTGCGCCACTTTTTAGAGCTCCTGGCTTTTCTACTACATCTACGTTTGCTCATTTGAGTAACCAATCTTTGTGTGTGAATCCCAGGAACACTTTTTTGATAGCTTTTCATAAAGAGTGGGAATATAGTTCTCTTTTTTATTAAAAGGAATTGGTTGCAGCTGTACACCGAACATTATGTCCTCCTTTTACTGCAAAATTAATTATCTTTCCTTCAACAAAGTTGGCTACTATTAAATTATACAGTATGGTTCAAATGAAAGGAATAAATTCATTATAATGGAAGTAGCTGGTTTTTCGAAAAAATGCTCGGACAGGTCAATTTTGTTTACTTAAAGCGCAATTTTTTAAATAAAATTCAATTTTCCCCCACTTCCCATTTTTGAGCAGTGACGTCATTGACAATTTTTTTAAATAGCAACCTCAATTTTTTTTTCTTGATTTTGATAGATCTTGCAATTTCCTACTCGGAAACATAATATTTGAAATATCTGACATAACAATTTTTTTTTAAAAAAAGTCATTTCAAGATCAGATACATAAATTTTATGTTATTTTGAAACACAATAAATTAATAAAAGATAATTATTTGTAATTAAATGCTTAATCTAACAAAGTAATAATAAAAAAAATAATAATAAAAAGAATTTGTGAAATTGTCATTAAATTCGTTTTATTATTATTATTATTATTATTATTATTATTATTATTATTTTTTTAAATTAAGCACTTAATTACAAATAATTATCTTTTATTAATTTATTGTGTTTCAAAATAACATAAAATTTATGTATCTGATCTTGAAATGACTTTTTTTCAAAAAAAATTGTTATGTCAGATATTTCAAATATTACGTTTCCGAGTAGGAAATTGCAAGATCTATCAAAATCAAGAAAAAAAAATTGGGGTTGCTATTTAAAAAAATTGTCAATGACGACACTGCCCAAAAATGGGAAGTGGGGGAAAATTGAATTTTATTTAAAAAATTGCAAATAAAAATATTCTAGACGACAGTTCGGCAAGGTTCGAGAAGGGTCAAGCAAGCTATATAAGGATGACCCTGACGTCAGTTTTTCAGTTTTACGATAGACGTTACATGTTAATGTTATCAGTTGTATCGATATTGTAAAAGTTGAGTTAAAATAAATTGAGATACCAAAAACCTGTGTAACAATATAAATAAGTATTCCATTCTGAGTTTTTCCAGAAAATACTATCCATACTATTTCGACTACAAAATTAATAACTGTAAAGTGCCGAGAGTTGATATTTTTAAAGATCTAGGTCTGACCTTTGACCGACAGCTTTCGTTTAATGTTCACATTGAAAATACATTCCTTTCAGCTAATAAAATGTATAGAATGATACTTAGAACATGTAAGGGTTTTACGGATATAGATAGCTTTCTGCTTTTATTTAATGCATATGTTAGAAGTAAGCTTGAATATTTTTCCTTAATTGAGCAATCGGGTTGTAGTACTTACTCTTCAATGTTAGAAAATGTCCAAAGAAAATTTCTCAAATATTTGGATTTTATAAAAAATAGTATTATCCACCTTTTGGCTTCCCTCATGACATTTAAGTTAATCGTTATTCTGTTATTTCTCTTCAAGATCGTAGATATATAAATTCTCTTATTTTCTAATACAAACTAATAAGTTCCAAAATAGACTCTTCTGAAATCTTAAATTTAATTAACTTTCGTGTTCCATATGAAAATTCTAGGCACTCAGCAACATTTTACTTACCCACTCCTAAGATAAATATTTTAAAATATTCTTCTTTATATTTTATGTGTGATAATTACAATGCGTTGCAAGATAGCACCAAATATATTGTTCAATAAATGTAATAAAAAATGGTCTGTCCTAAAATTATAAAAATTAGCTTTTAAATATCCAGTGATGTGTGTAAACTAGTTTTCTGTGTTTGCGATCACTCCTTTTTTTGACCTCCCATGGTTTTTTTTTTGAGTGGTCACATATACATTTTAATTATTAATAGTGATATAATGTATTTTTTTCTTTTTAAATGTTTTGTTATTTTTTTATATTTGCTGGTCTTTTTGTACTTATTTTCTATATTTTTATTTGTATACTTATATTCTGTGTTATAATAATCTATAAATTCTGTATTTTGCCACTCTGTAAATGGAGGTGTATGTTAAATAAATAAATAAATAAATTAATTAATTAATGAGATCTAATAATATAATGTTTAATTAAATATTTTACATTCTGTTTTATCTAAATACATTTAACGGTGACAATTTTGATTATATAACGTAGTTGAATGCATAGCAGCGAATACGTCGATATAATGTGATAACCTTTTTGTGCATGTGCTTGCATTAAATATTCTTATGCAAATTCCACATGAAATGCAAAAGTCACGAAAACGAAAACGTACAGAATGAGTGTGTGCATGCTGAACCCTACCACTCCGGCATTTCAATGGGAAAACAAATGACTGGATCGATTTTTTGTGTATGTAAACTTGCGAGAAAGTTTGAGAGAAATTTAGAAAAGGTAACAATTGGGCTTCTCTGCGGAACAAAAAGTAACTCTTCATTGTACGGCTGCAGGAAAATAAAACAAGATGTTTATTAACATTCGTTGTACTGAAACTTGTTTTAATGAACCCATGAATAATTTATCTATAATAACTGTTAACCTACATGTTTTTTTTTATTAATATTAGCCGTAGTTAATTTTGTGCTTTACGTAAGAAAGCTTCTCGTATTGGTGTGAAAGCTAGCAGTCAATTCGAGTAACGTCTTGAATACAACGCTAAAAACTTATAGATTTATTATTTAATACCAGTTGAATAAGGAAGTATTGTCAAAAATGTATTACTATTATGCAATTTCAATATACTTTAATTTATATAGGTATAATTTAAAAAAAAAATGCCAGGTGATTTTTTTGTTTGCAAGTATGTACCAGGTGGTGATAAAAAATTTAAGGGAATGATATTTCTTAACGTCAAATTACTCAACTTAGTAGTTAGCTTGTCTGAGTGACATATGGGCCATGCTTACTACACTAACTGCAGCAAGGCAGTTACTATCACGCAATATCATGAAGGGAGAAACCAGATCCGTTATTTAGAGGCTAATGCAGGGACAAAATCCAATAAGCCAACTACATAGCGCTGACCATTCAAGGTTACAATTGGAAAAGATTCTAGGAATACCTACAGATATATCCATACCCATATGAAGAAATTTTCAAAATCACATACTAGCCCGAGAATCCTGGAATATTAGGCTGAACTCGTGTGGCATAGTGGCTACTCTGATGGCCAAGCAGCTCTAAAGGCAATTTTCTCACTTGCTGGTGAAAGACTGAGTAGAAAACATCACAGAGCTAAGTAGTAAAAAAATATCTTTAATTGAATAACAGGCCATAAAGGATAGCAGGGCAATGAAAAGGTCGACGAACTAGTCCGAAAAGGCCGTAACAGGTCGCGAACTTTACTGTGGAGTTGTGCAAGGCATCCATATAACAATGGATGCAAATAAATTCTTTGGAATGGTGAAACAAACTGAGACAGGTCAAAGAGTTTATCAAGAAAGCGTCAGTCAACTTTAAGGAAGGATCTAAAAAATCAAAAATGACAAATAGTTTTTTTTATAAAAATGATCGAATATCGATTAAACAGAAGTACCTAATTATTGTTTGACAGTTCAAAATTAAAACGGCTGCATAAAAGTTATGGCGTATCCATGGTTACGAAAGTGAAAGCAATAACTAATTTCTTACCTCCATCAAACGTAGGATTTTTTTGGTGTCACCAGACCCCCTCCTAACCTATGTCTAACATATCCATGGTATACCAGTTGTCCACTTGCAATGAAACTGTTGCAAAAAAGGTTACACTTGTGGGAACTCTTAGAAAAAACAAGGCTGATATTCCAATTGAATTTCAGCCGCATTTTGGTTTCCAGAAAAACTTGAAAAATAATGCAGTTATATCGATTTCGACCATGCACGATGATACTGCAGTAAACCCAAATTCGTAGAAGCCAGAAGTAATCCATTTCTGCAATGAGACTAAAGGAGGTGTTGACATAGTTGATTAGCTTTGTGGGAATTACTCAGTTTCGCGTAGAACCGATAGATGGCCCTTGTGCATTTTTTTTCATTTGCTAAACATATCTGGAATTAACGCACAAATTCTATATAATGGAACATATCCTAATAACCCGGCAAAAAATCGAAGAACTTTTTTCTAATGGAAAAACATCTTGGCGAAAGATCAAAATTAAAAAACTTCAAGCTTCTTTCATCGAAGTATAACCAAGCCGATGAAAACGTAACTGCGCTTCTCGACCTAATCGCCCACAATAAATGCGCCCCCGACATAGGCGCCAGAGAAAATTAATTTAATTTTAAATGGTCAAAACTGAGGTTTTTAATCTTATGTTGAACTTATATATAGAGTATCCCATTGGTGCATAATTGCTTGATTTTTAATTTATATTATAGACCCACAAAAGATTAAAATAAAAGTTTTATGGATCTCGAAAAGGCATATTTTAATAATAATCTTGAATATTCGATTTTGCCTGGCAAATAAAAATGTTATATTTAAATGGGAAATCCTGTATTTTATTTCAGTTTTAGATTTGTCACATAATGATGTATTTAACACTAAAATATTTTTTAAAAATATTACAGGGTTGCCAAGCAATTATTTTTTTTTTGTGAAATTGCAGAATGATGCAGATCACAAATAATATTATCATAATTTAGGTAGGTTAGTCATGTCTTTTGAAACATGTCTTAAATATGGTTAATTTTAAGTTCAATTTACTCAATTTTTTCAAACGCAATACCCTGTATATTATTTTATTATAAAATTCATTATAAATTTACTTATCCAACGATACCAACACTACATGTTAGCCTATTATAAATATACAGGGTGTCCCATTAGTGCGTAATAGATCGTTAATAGTTTTATTATTGGAAATGGGAAGATATGTTTTATATAAAAGTTGTGTAACCATATTTTATAATTACTCTTAAATATACAGGGTAGTCCATAAATGAGAGGCTGACCAAACCCACACTTTTTTAAAGCAAACTTATAGGTAGTTACACATAACAACGTCAAACAATTTTAATAGATTTAACGTCCCTAAAAGTGTTTGGCATTTTCATTCATTTACTGTGTTGTATATAGGGTTACGTTTTCTACATTTTTCAAATACTGTTATATTACTAATTAATAAATTAATTTCTGTATAAGTATTTTTTATTTTGTTTGGCATTTCTTATGCCAAAACACATTTTTGTATTTTATTTAAAATGGTTTATATTACTTGTGATGTCGATGGGATAGAAAACCGTCCGTTCTGACAAAATTTTAGAATTTTATCCTAAATAGGTCTATATTTTCAAAAGCCAATTAGAAAAATGTGAAAAAAAAATGTAATGATAAAACTATCAAAATCACTAGAAAAATACGTCTGATCATAGGAAAAGCCAAACAAAATAAAGCGTAAGAAAATTAATTTATAAATTAGTGGTATAACATATACACAGTGTTCCATTTGAAAAAATTAAAAATTTCGCATTTAAACATCATAGCAAATGAATAAAAATGCATAAATTATTTAACGATGTGAGAACAACCAAATCTGTTATTTGTAACTATCTACAGGGTGTTTGATTTAAAATAGTATAAGTTTGGTTCAACCCACATTTATGGACCACCCTGCATAGAAAAATTTTAGTAAATTGAACTTAATTTCATGTTTTGAATAAAATCAACATTGCCGGGCTAAGAGGGAAAAAAATAATTGTGAAACTAAAAAAATTCTACCAGTAATCATTTAAAAAAAAATGAAAATAAAAAATGTTGGAGCGCATATGTCGGGAAGCGCATTTGTCGGGGCGCATGTGTCGGGGCGCATTTGTCGGGGCCCATTAGTCGGTGCGCATTTGACCAGTGCGCAATTGTCGGGTAACCCGTAAAAACATGTCTCAATAAAATGTTGCTGTAGAAGAAACAAAATCTTTTTTTCGTTTTTTGGTAATAATAATTTCACAACAGAATTATAAATAATTTTTAAATTTTGTTTACTTCTTAATTCTTAGGACATAAGTACGAGTTTTTAGTTTTACTAATTAAATCATTTTACGAAATGAACTCTAGGAAAAAATACAGGATGTGCCTAATTTTCTTCTTAATGTTAGAAAGTCTTTCATCAAAACAAATTGGAAAGCAGTAGCTACCGAAATAAGGAAAAAATTTAAAAAAGGAAAAAAATGAAAAAAAAATAATTAAAAAATACATACAATTTGAATCAGTCTCATTAGATATACGAGTATACGTACACAATAATCAAAATGTAGTTTAATTATATAATTATAAATTACTTGTCTACAGTAGTACAGTAATACGTTTTGACTACTAGTGGTCTTAGCTGGGTAAAATACTTTTTAAAAGTGTTTAAATATTAAATACTAAATACTTCTTCATAAATACGATTATTTGAATCGTAAATACATTTTCAAAATAAAAGGTATTTAAATAACAAATACCTACAGTATTTAAATACTTGTTTGTGATTAATACTTACACAAAAGTATTTAAATACTGAAAAGGTATTTAAATACATAAAAAGTATTTAAATACTTATGCATTATTTAAATGCTTAAAAGTATTTAAATACTATCATAATAATAAAACAATTATGTTTTCTTAAAGGCCTAACACCAACAGAAAAAATATTATTTTATCCTTTTAGTACGTTTAAAAAATTTGGTATGTTAAAAAATATATACAGGGTGTCCAAAAACACTGCACGAATGAAAAATAAGAAACAAATATCATATGAATATACAGTGAGCACCATAAGTCCCCCCTATATTACTCGTTACTGGAGTCTTGTTAGAAAAATCGCCGAGACAGGTCGATTTTTGATTTCTACTATGTACATTTTTATATAAATAGTTTACCTTTAATTTCATCCCTTACTGGAGGGGAACAACCCTTTCGAAAAATTTAAACGGCCTAAGGTGGTGAGTGATAACTCATTTGAAAGGGGGTTTTATTCTCTATTCAACCGTGCAAAAAATTTTAAAATTTGCTTAATTAGTTCTCGACTAATTATTGTTTTAGAATAACGGAAATTAACGTAGCGCACTCATCCTTAGAATTAAAATTCGGCCCTGCATGAAATCGGTTTTGGTTCAGACGTGAAGTAAGAGTTTTTGCCATTAGATAGGTCACTGTTAGTTAAGTTGCTTTCCTATTTGCGATATTTTTAAACATTGATAAATCAACACGGAATGCATCAAATTTAAAATTTTTTTGCACGGTTGAATAGAGAATAAAACCCCCTCTCAAATGAGCTATCACTTACCACCCCATGCTATTTAAATTTTTCGAAAGGGTTGTTCCCCTTCAGTAAGGGATGAAATTAAGGTTAAACTATTCATACAAAAATGTACATTGTAAAAAACAAAAATCGACGTGTCTCGGCGATTTTCCTAACAAGACTCCACTAACGATAGTTAGGGGGGTAAGACTTATGATGCTCACTGTATGTCACAAACGTTTTAACTTTTGGACACCATAATTTTACATTGTGATTGAGTTTAGATATGTATACCAAATTTCAGTTGATTCCAATAACATGAACTGGTTTAGCATTGAACAAATTTAGTTCTTAGGAAAAGTTCTGGGTAAAATACTTTATTAATTTAGATACCTTAAAACTGCATTATCAATTACCGTCCAGTTCTGAGCTATTTTTAAAATATAAAAAATAAAATATAGTCTCTAGCTAATTGGAAGTTTGTTTAAAATCAATTGCAAAATTTATACCGAACATAAAGACATACATACATATACACAGGAAAGCGAGTTAATAAAAACATGATGAAGAACGTATTCTTATACACTGCAAGAATAAATGCGTGTTACGCAGCAGTTTTTAAGGTAAAAAAAGAGTGAATATTTTGCTTCCTAAATGTTTTAAACCTCAAATTTACGATTTTACCAAATGTTTGAGTAATATCTGGCAACATTGTATTATAATTTTCGAAAAATGACGTTTGGATTTAGATATATTTTTAAATCGATTGCCAGAGTCAGTGCATGAAAATTGTTTGCTGATGGATAAAAGTACTGCTTTTAATATTTTTTCTTGTATTTGCAAATGTTCGTCCTTAAGTCATCCTACAGAAGGGCAATTTGTCATTTTTTACAACAAATTTCTTAAGTAAACTATTGTTCAGTGTATCCGTATAGTGATTTAAACCGCGACTTATTTGGAATTATAATATCCTTTTTTATATAAACTTACTTTTAACTGACCATCTGTACCTCTAATAGTTTTTAATTACTGTGTAAAACCACAAATCATAATTTGGTTTATTTTTTTTTCTTGTAACACAAATCACAACAGTCACAACTTAACAACTATCACAATGAAGAATCTTCTCTAACGCTTAAATACGAACTAATACTTCAGCACTTCATCCAGACTATTTCGCACTTTTGGTTTAATAACAAGTTTAAACTTGTTAAAATGTTTTTATTTTTGACGTAAAAAGGTATTTAAATATCGCAAAAGTATTTAAATACTTAAAATGTATTTAAATAACAGAAAAGTATTTAAATACCAGAAATGTATTTAAATATCAGAAATGTATTTAAATACCAGAAAATTATTTAAATTCTTAAACAGTAGGTATTTAGAATAATTTGAAAAAGCATTTAAATACTAAATACTTACGAAAGTATTTGCAGCTGCAAATACAAATACCGCTCATCCAAAAGTATTTAAATACCTAGTATTTAAAAATATAAATACTGCCCAGCTCTGGTAGTAGTGTGTGTAGTCAACATTGTTGCGAAAACTTGAATCTCTTATCAAGAATGGCAACCAAATATTTGCTTTGTTCTAGTTTTTCCTAATCTATTCCTCCAAATGTATTAGTTGAAAATTTACTTTTATTACTAATCACCATTAATATATTTGCATTTAGGTATTATAGTATACAATAAGCTTATTTATTTTCATCCAGTGCTCAATGTTCAATAAAATATTATTTAATTTTGCAACATTTAAGATAAATTGTATTATTAATGCACTTAATAACATTGTTTTTAAAGAACCCTGTAGTTTGAAATCCAATTAATTTCGATAATTATTGTGACTTATAATATCCGGCAACCGAATTATGTGCAGTAAATCGTGAAACATTCCTTGTGTGACCTGACCTCCAAGCAACCAAGAAGAGAAACATAATGGAAAGTAAAATAATTATTAACCCGGTTTTGTCACTTTTAGTACACATATAAGTATACTCAGTACGTTGTTATGTGAATGGTCAAGGTTTTCTTCGCCAAAGTCCTACATTTCCAAGATTTGCCAATATTTTTGCTATTAGTAGCTAGACTTTGCGTTAGATTTGCGTTGAAATTTATTACAAATATTTATTGCAAAATTAAAATCCTAAACGAGGTTATGATAGCTATTATACATTTTTACCTAATAGATATATACAGAATGGATAAATACCCTTATATCTTAGAAATCATTATTCATTATTCTTTATCTTTATACTATTTCTTAACTTTTCTATTAAAACTTAACTGGTCCGGCATTCTGCCAGTAACGTAACTGGTCCGACGTAGTCTGTGAGACTTTTTTTAGGGCAAAAATAATGAAATAGGCAAAATGAAATGTTTTATTTAACATACATGTTAAAAACTTTACTTAATAATAATATGTAAAAATAAACATAGTTAAAACTAAATAAAACCCGCAATAGGGAAAGGATTAGATGAAGGACCTACCTGTGGGAGTTCCCAATAACCAATAAGAAATAATTGTTTATACTGCGTAGTCTGTCAGACGACGCCGGACCAGTTAAGGGTTAAAGATTTTTTCTTTTTAAAATGTCAACTAAAAACTGTATACCAAATTTTACCTATTTAACTAAATCTATCATTCTATTACTTTCCCATTTTTCATACGTATAAGCTAATTATTCTAATAAAAAATATTAGTCAACAAAAGCAAATTTTAATTTGGTCATTGTACCAAACAAGGCTGCCTTACTAATTATTTTGTGAACATTTTGGCTACTTTGGAGCCCGGCAGGAAGATGTCGCCAGTAGTGTTAAAATTCTTTAGTTGACAACAACCGCGGACGAACTAACAGCTGTTTTTTCGTTAAACTGTGCTTCCTGTTAATTTATTTAACAATAAAGTGTAATTTAGACCTCACCAATTTCGAAAGGAAGAAACTGATTTATTAATTTAGCCCAAACCTTTGTTTTCCTCAAAATATTGTGGCGTAAGAATAAAATGCAGTTCCTAACCTACAAATTGACTGCACGTAAATAATATTAGCTCTTCACGATCATTTTTATTTTCAGTGAGGCGTTTTTCACTACGAATTTGAAATACGCCCTACATATTTTGTGTGGTAATACGCCCCAACTAGATATTGAAATAATTATTTAAAATATTTTTTGTTTTGCAGTAAAATGGGAAAAACGTATGTAGGAAAGACGAATAGGGGACAGTACGGCCTGGAATAGGCCATGTAAAAAGTATCATCTAAGGAAATGGGTATAAATAAAGCCAGCAGAACATTTGGAGTGCTGTCTCGTACTCTAAGGCGTCACTTGATGTCGGGAAAAACTACAGTACAACTGGAAAGAGTTCCAGAATTAGGCTTTGAACATAAAAAAAGGTTAGCCGCCATGTAAAAGCATTAGAAAAAGCCGGATTTGCTCCTGATTCAACCTCACTTAAAAAAATGGCATATAAATTTTCAGAAAAGCTGGGTATTAAGCACCGTTTCTCACATGATAATTGTTCTGCAGGAAATGAATGGTTACGCTGATTTTTACGGCGAAATAAAGAACTTTCGGTTCGTAAATCAGAAGGGCTGTCACTCGCTCGTGCTCAGCGGATGAACCGGAAAGATGTGAACTATTTTTTTAATATTGTTACGCAGCTCCCTGTAGCGTGCTACGGTCGTCATAAGTAAAGGTACGAGTAAATGAAGAAGATATAATATTCCCGAAATGTCTCGAAATGTCATTCCTTGTCAAAGAAAAGTCCAGATTGTTTGAGAAGGTTCTAGAAGGTGAGGCAAGCTATATAAGGCGACGACCTGACTCAGAGTGCAGTTTTATGATAGACGTTAAACGTTAATGTTATCAATGCGCTAGTTCAGTGATTATGTAATTATGGTTCCACTGACAATTAAATTGACAGTAGATTTTTTGAGTGCGTTTTGTTCGTTTTGTTTACTTAAATTATATCGTTTTTTCACTTTTATAAATATATTCCTAAAGCAAGTAGATAGCATGTATCAAATATACAATCGTTTAGATACCAATTACATACTTTTAAACTATTTTTTATGACCTGTAAACAATATTTTGAAATAAAATAAAAACAGTAAAAACGTATATGTCAAATTTATTGATGTTTTTGTTAAAAATTTGGTTAGAATTAAATGTCAGTGGAACCAAAATGACATTACACTGAACTAGCCACATACTTTGATTTTCTTCTACTATACGGAGAATGGTCGCACTGCACAGCTTTCTGAGTGCCTTTTAAAAGGAGATAGAAAACTCCGCCATTTTGAACCCTTATTACGTGTTGCCTACATCTTGGCGCAATATTTTTAATAGGTGCGTTTTAATCATCCGCTTCTGCTTCGGAATTGTCGGTTTTCTTGTTTTAATCTGACAGGTTAAAACTGCTAAACCGACAATTCCGGAAGCAGAAGGGGATGATTAAAACGCACCTGATATTTTGCTTGCTGCTGTCAGTGTCAGTGAATATTATTTTTGAAGTCACAGTTTATTGCTAAAGAATCAGTTAGCTCACTCGGACCAGTTGAAAGTTCCAAAATAACATCCACTCCAGGGATACAAATTCAGGATACGCAGTTTTATTATAGGCGGTTGTCATATATTGTATTATCCGAGTTGCACAGTGTATAAACTGAAACATTGAGATCAAAAGTGCCGACGCAGAGTGAGCGATCTGATTCTTTAGCTGTAAACTGTGTCACAGGGTTCAAGATGGCCGCGCCCTATGTTGGGCGTGTCGGACCTCTCTCTTGCCTCGTATAGTAATCAAAGTATGTGGAACTAGCGCATTGGAGTTATTGTTATTATATCAGTTGTATAATTGTTAAAGTTTAGTTAAAATAAATTGTGTTACCAAAAACCAGCGTAACATTGGTGACAGCGGTGGGATACAAAGTAAAAGTTTATGGTAAATACTAGATCCACTGAGTACGAAGTAGGAATGGATATTTTAGGCCCACCAACATGGTTTTTGAAGCTGGAAGAGGAGAGAGTAAGGCGAGAAGAGGAAAAGGAAAGGCGTAGGAAGGAAGAAGAGGAGAAAAATGCAAGGCGCAGGAAGGAAGAAGTGGAGGAAAAGGAAAGGCGTAGGAAGGAGGAAGAGGAGGAAAGGCGTAGAAAGGAAGAAGAGAAGGAAAAGGAAAGGCGCAGGAAGGAAGAAGTGGAGGAAAAGGATAGGCATAGGACGAAAGAAGAGGAGGAAAAGGAAAAGCGTAGAAAGAAGGAAGAAAAGGAGAAGGAAAGGCGCCGGAAGGATGAGGAAAAGAGAAGGAGGAGAGGCATAAAAAAGCTCAAGTAGAAATTATGAATGCTTTACTACAAATCCAGGAAACCTTCAAGCAAGAGATTGGTCAGCTCAAAAATAGAGTGGATCTTTTAGAACAACAACAAGAGCATTTAAAAACTAAGTTAGAACAGCAGCAAGAGCATTTAAAAACTAATTTAGAACAACGAGATAATTTAAAACAACAGGATCGAGTGTATACATGAATCAAAAATTGTCTTACGTAAATTATGATATCTTCTTTAAATGGTTTAATGAATACTTTTTGCCCAAAAAGACACCAGGAAAAACCCTTTTGATTTTAGATGGTCACGCTTCCCATTGTTATGGAATTGAGTTGCTAGATTTAGCAACAAACAAGTATTAGAAATTAAAAATTTAAAAAAACCTACTGCA